AATGTATGTATAGTAAATCTAAAAGTAGCATCAGCAGAGATTAGACAAACAGATTGTTATGTATATGACCAGTTTAAACCTAAAATCCTAATTTATGGACACCCCGTCACTGTGTAAGGTGACAGTGACTTTGCAAAGGGCCCCCCACCAGTTGTACTCCCTTAACAGAGTTCACTCACCCCTCTTGTCTCTGTTGCAACTGGTGGAAAAAAGCCTGGCAGTTCAGGCATAGGGGTTCATATGGCCGGCTCCAGTGAGGCAGTGCTCGATTCTAGCAGCCAATCACTAGACCTGAGCACTGTTGCATGACTAGGGGAGTGAAGGCACCGCTCTTCTTAATGCCCGACACCAACCAAAACCTAGGATTTCCTCAGATTGCTGTCGAGGCAGGCGCTTCCATGAAGTGCTGGTAAGATGGGTCACTTCACATTTAATGGCGGAGGTGAGTGCCTTATTGAATTCACCCTCTAATACTGTTGCAGAATTATAGGTGGGCAAATGGCTGGTGAATGCAGAAGTACACAGACCCCACAAATGCACCAAGGTCCAAATTTAACTCCTTTAAAGGATAAGTGCACTTTAAAACAGTGTGCACTTATCCTATAAGGCAGGTGTGGGGAACCTTGGGCCCTCCAGCTGTGGTGAAACTAAAATCCTATGATGCTTCTGTCTCTGGGAGTCATGCTTGTGGCTGTTAGAATCTTGCAATGCCTCATGGGATCTGTAGTTTCAGCACAGCTGCAGGGCCAGAGGTTCCCCACCCCTCCCTGTACACATATGAATACGTATCAAGTTCCAACAGGCCCGGCCTCGGTTGTTTACATGCTGCAACGGATGTCTCCTTTTCCTGCCCACAACTGTGCAGTACATCCCCATTGACTTCTACGGGCTTGTCTACCTCCATCTCCCCACTGGGAGAAGGGCCCCATAGAAGTCGATGTGGATGAACTGTGCAGGGGGCCAGGAGAAGAAGACATTTGTCGCAGGATGTAAACAAACAACCGAGGCCGGGCCTGTTGGTACTCGTTAAGTGTTCCATCTGTGCACGTGGAGGGAATGGGGACGTCACTTAAAACAGGGGTGGGGAAGCTCCGGCCCTCCAGCTGTGGAGAAACTACAAATCCCATGAGGCATTTGCAAGATTCTCACAGCCACGGGCATGACTCCGAGACAGATGCATCATGGGATTTGTAGTTCCACCACAGCTGGAGGAACGGAGGTTCCCCACCCCTGCCTTTTAAAGGATAAGTGCACTTATGCTTTTAATAAATATGCACTTACATTTTTGTTGGAGTTGTCAGAAAGGAGCCCCAGAGTTGTGGGATATAAATAGCAGCGTGAAGCTTCTCTCCTGAAGTGGCAGGAGGGTGTGTGTTATAACCCACTGGAGTGGCCATCCAGAGCGACAAATACCTCGGCTACTAAAGCAGCTCGCATGCGTGTATCTCAGCCGTGTGTTATGATGGCTGTTTGGCTGACGTTCTGCTGTAAAAGCTTATCTCCAGCCAAACGGCTATACTAATGGAAGGGCAGATGTTCCCAAGATCTCTTCTAAACCAACATTTAAGGATTGAGATTGCGGCTGCTGTTTAAATTTATATAGCTCTGTAAAGAAGGCCCGGCCTTGCCAATTAAATGAAAAGCCATACACAGTGGTATAAAATGCCTGAGAACACTTTACTAATTGGAAAGACAGAAGTGTGTGCAATCCATGGCATCTGCTTTACAACGTGACATTAACTTTTAAGACTTTTTCCTTCTCCATTGAAGAGTTCCAGGCTTGTCTGTAGTCCTCCTAGTTATGTTCTTTTTCCCTTGATGGGTTTGTTTGTTTTTCGTTTTTTTTTTTTTCTTTTTGGTCCCAGCGTTTTCATCATACATCACCCGTTTTTACATTTACACCAAACCAAATATAATAAACTGTTATCAAGGTCAAGGCTTTCCTATAGGCCAGTGACCTTTTTAGCTGTTTGCTTAACTCCGGGCAAACTAGCTTTCATTTTAAATTAGGGATGCACTGATCCCGATACTGGTATCTGCAGCTACCGAGTATTTGAGCGATTTTTACTCGTACTTGCCCAAATGCTCTCGATGCCTATCTCTAGGCGAGTCATTACACGCTGCCCGGCTTCCTGATTAGCTGGGAAACTGGCTCCATGCTCCCTCGTCACCAGGGAGCATGGAACTCTTCCTGGCCAATCAGGAAACCGGGTAATGACTCTCACATCTATTGTAAAAGTAAAGGTGCCCATACACCTTACAATTATCTGCAGATTTTCTGTGGTCAGATGGAAAAAGTGCAACAGATTGGCCCAGGTGGAGATTACTCCATCCACACCGTTAGGTGTAGATGGAGGAATCTGTTGCACCTTTTCCATCTGACCATAGAAAATCTGCAGATAATTGTAAGGTGTATGGCCAGCTTAACAATGGCATTAGTAGTGGGCTGCACATATGTGCAGAGGACAACGCAATGGGAGGAACCCATCAGCTCCACCCACAACAGGCTGCCTGCAGAAAACTACAGGAGGGGGCAGGTACAAGACCAGTCACCCTGCACAAGGAGAGAGCCACAGTGACTGGTCTTTATTACAGGAAGCTCCTGCACAGGGGCAAAGTTTGACACTGGATTACTACACAGATCTGGAAGAATACACATGACTCTTATAATTGGACAATGTTTTCTTATTCTGGAGTTCAGTTTTAATTGCACTAGACATGTTATGTCACCTGCCTACACTTTTCTATTAAAAAAAAAAAAATAAAGTGTGGTGTTTGAATCCATTCAATAATATGTATTCGGTGAGGATGTCTGTGAATCGGCCAAAATTCGAGCCATGCCTTGACGGCAGAGCCCAGCTCGATTTGAACTTTGATTTCAAAAATTGTCAACTGAACAGTGACTGCAGCCCATCACCATTTGGGTATTGAAGCAGCCTCACGCTCCCACGACTGTCTGAATGCAATATTCCGCAGCGGCAGAGTACTTCATCCACGGTATGTAGTGTGGATGGGGGAATTGAATGGTTTTCCCTCATGCAGCCCGGAGGCAGCATGAGGAAAAAAGGCCGAAATGTGTATGGCCAGCTTTAGTTTTATGTTTTATAACCATGCTATAGATAAGCAGATCTTCCTGTCCTTTAAACCAATTTGCTAGTGCTGGGCACTTCTTACCCATGGCGACAAGAATATTGGTCTGAAATATTCAGCCAATGACTGTTGCTTTACAGCCGGTCGCAATGCTTCCTTCATGTGCACCTAGTGATAGAAAATCTCTTATGAGCAATGGAAAATCTTTTGAAGTGGGGCCATATACTGGGTCAACCACGCCAAGCTACACACTCAGCCCAGCTATTGCCACTGAAGATAAAATTGGACCGACAGTTTGTGGTTGGCAAAAGTAATACGAGAAACCCTTCCTAATTTTTGTATTTTAATACTTGAGTTAAAGACCGCCTATAATGAAAAATATTCTGCTAACTGTATGTGGTTAATACCTGTAATGATGGGATTTAGCAGGCCATTTATTAATTTTACACATTTTTATTTAGTTTGTTCTACAACTTTTTATGCAGGCGAAGCTGTTCAGGAGACGTGACTGTTACAAACACGAACGGTGCCTAAAAGTGGTTGGCTTTTATTCATATCGCTCATGCAGTTTTGCTGTGTCCGAGTTAGCTGGCGTTGGGCATTAATATATTTGTTGCTTGCGTTCTCCAGACAGACTATAAATGAAGCCTTGCAGCGGGGCTCCCCCCCACACACACACACATACTGCAAGGGTTAACTGCTCGTTTTGGTCTAGGGTCTAAAATCTTCAGGATTTATATAGTGCCAACGGTTTGTGCAGCGCTTTAGGCCTGGTTCACACCTGAACGTATTCAATGGGTCTGGTTCACACCTTGCCATATTTCCGCCCGTCCAAACGCGATACAAAACGGCCTAAGCCCAAAGAAGTACAAGTACTTCTTTGGGGCGTTTTGGTCTCAGTTTCCATTGGGATACAGCCAAGTAGCCCTCGGAAACGGGCGTTTGTCGCACGGATTTTTACCGCAAATCGCGGTCGAAACGCGTGACAAACGCGCATATTCAATACGCCTAGGTGTGAACCCAGCCTTACAGTATAGGGATAACATTTCTGTTACAACACCATTCAAAACAAGATGGTTAGGAGGGCCCTGCCCTTGAGAGCTTGCAATCTATGAGTAAGAAAAATATATACTCGCCTGATCCTTGGTCCTACCGGGCTGTTAGGGCTAGTTCACACCAGATGCAGTCCGTTCGGTTTGGCAGCTGCATCCAAAAGGCATCACAATGCTTTAGTTTGTGATTTCTGGTGCTCTGTTCAAACCAGTGCAGTCCATTCCGACGCAGTCATAAATACTGCTTTCCCTATTTTAGCTGCATTTGATGACAGTGTGATTTGGGTGGGCTTAAAGAAGACCCCTTTCTTGTAATATCTATCCTCGTCCGAATTCACCTAAGTCAAGTTGTCATGCATGCACGGGAAGAATCAGACTGACACGCTGTATCAGATGCAAAGATACTTCTGCTTTATTACACAGGTCACAAAGCTTATATAGATTGAGGAAGGGGAGTTCTCGTGGTTAGTATGGATACATGCTTCAATGCTTTATTAGGTATTGCGTTTAGTACAGATAGTTGCTAATATATTTTAGTTCCTTATAAGGTGTTCTTCTATATCTTCCTATTTCATCTTTACTCTTGTCAACAAGGGCGTAGGACAAAAATGGAGGCGCCATCTTAGTTTCTTCAAGCTGCACATGAAGGGAGGGGTTGAGGAGCTAGGAGTAAAATATCTTATCTTTGTTTAAGGAAAATGACACACCATATAGACAAGCATATTGTAAAGAGAACAATGGACATTTTATATCATGTTTTATATCCATCACAGTCCCCCCTTAAATTGGCCATTCTTCTCTCACCCTAATCCAGGCCTAACTCATCTGTTCCAATGTGCTGTGGAACTCTTTTATGCTGTACGTTAGACGAGTGATGGCTTGTCCATCACCCCCCTTGCCACAGACTTTGCACATAGGAAAGTCAGATGCTGTCCCTAAGCTGAAATGGAGTTGAACTTCAGAGGGAAGGACTGTATTGGAGTATACTCCTCATAATCAGGAAGGGGAATGTCCTCGGCTTCACAGTGCAAAAGTGCGGGTGAGGTGCTCTCTATGGTCTATATCCCCAGTCAGGTCCTGTGGTCCACCCCACAGATCCCCAGCTGTCACAGTTATTACCCCAATATTTGTCAGTCACACAGACATAAATGATCAGGTGTCTACCTGAGCTTTGGTGGCTCATTATGTGGTATTCAGTTCCTGGGAGTATTCGTACAACATTATACCAAGCTTCTGCTGTTTTGAGCAGATTGTTATCCACCAAAACGCCTCTCTTTTCTCTCAATATCTTTCGCCATTCTTCCGGCTGCAGCCGGCCCCTGTTTTTCTTTATACCACACACTTTAATCAATTTCTGCAGCTTGCATGTGTACACTTTTCCTTCCCTGTCCTCCACTAACTCACATGCAGTTCTCCCTTTATCTACGATGGTCTGTTTCTGTCCCATAGCGTCTGCTGGCAAACTCCTCAGCACGTACTCTCTGTACCTCCTCTGACTCAAAAGGTTCAGGATGTTCTGGCTGCAGTGGGTATCTAACTATCCCTCCCTCCGTGCTTCTCTGTGAATTGGTTCCAGTGATTTCCCTACTTCTTCCTTCACTGGGTAATGTACATTCAGGCGAAAGACCAATATCCCAGGGAGCTCAGGTATCAGAGGGTGGCCTCCTAAGAACCCTTGACTGTATCCTGACTCCTTCACTTTAACTAATTTCCAGCCACCCTCATGAATGGCAAGCAACAATCCACAAACGCAATCAGGACATGACATACCGTTACATAGACAGACAAACACGTCCCGTGACTGTCACGAGTGAGAGCAATTGCCGACCAATCTTTATCCGTGCTGTCGCTGCACCGCGACTCGCTCCCAGACACCCCTTTCTACGACGCGCACACCGCGCTGCCGGTTACCAAAAGAGTTACCGTGTCTTATTATGTTCCCTTGGTCTCAACAATTGTATCACTTTGTGACCAGTCACAGACAGATTATACACATACCGAGTGATAGATATTACTTCTGACAGGAATGGGTAAACTGAGCCTCGGGCAAGATATTTACCTGTCTTTGGTGACCCCAGACAGCCGAAGTGACCCACAGAGGTACCAAACAGAGACGGGACGTAGCGGTATACAACAAAATTTGTCTTACCGTACTCTCAGAGGTGATCAGTCTCCGCCCGGTCCGGTTGGCCCGTCTGAGTGTCCTTGTGGTTCGGCTGTCGGTAGGTACACAACCCGAGGCCCCACGTTGGGCGCCAGCTGATTTGGGTGGGCTTAAAGAAGACCCCTTTCTTGTAATATCTATCCTCGTCCGAATTCACCTAAGTCAAGTTGTCATGCATGCACGGGAAGAATCAGACTGACACGCTGTATCAGATGCAAAGATACTTCTGCTTTATTACACAGGTCACAAAGCTTATATAGATTGAGGAAGGGGAGTTCTCGTGGTTAGTATGGATACATGATTCAATGCTTTATTAGGTATTGCGTTTAGTACAGATAGTTGCTAATATATTTTAGTTCCTTATAAGGTGTTCTTCTATATCTTCCTATTTCATCTTTACTCTTGTCAACAAGGGCGTAGGACAAAATGGAGGCGCCATCTTAGTTTCTTCAAGCTGCACATGAAGGGAGGGGTTGAGGAGCTAGGAGTAAAATATCTTATCTTTAAGGAAAATGACACACATATAGACAAGCATATTGTAAAGAGAACAATGGACATTTTATATCATGTTTTATATCCATCACAAGTGGAGTGTATCAAAAAACACATGCAAATGCACTGGAACGCACCGGAAATTCAGTCTAATACAGAGTATTATCATCATTAATAATAATAATTTATTATTTTATTCAAGTTCTAATCAAGCTTTACATGCATACAATGTATTTTTTGTTAAGTGGACATCATGTAAAGTTTGGGTGGTACCTGGTTTATCTGCTTTCTCTGCACAAAATAAAACCTTTTACAAATAAATGTGTAGGTAAACCTGGTTTTATGCTGCGCAAAGGGTTATTTTATTTATTTTTTACAATTTTATTCTGTGAAGGTTTTTTTTTTTTTTTTAATGCCAAGGCTATGTACCTTGGTATCCCTTCTGCTTTGGCTGTGGTCCCAGTTCTTCATTTCTATACTTCATTCGTGGAGAATAAAGAGAGCCGGCTCACAGATTTCTAAGCCAATTATTGCATTCTTTTTTTTTTTCCGTTTGCAAATCTGTTACAAATGGAACATGTCTTCCTCCTTTTTTCCAGAAGCCTAAGTATTAATGAGTTTAGTTTTCTTGAACTTTCGACTTGTCTTGTTACCAAAGGTTTTTGAAAGTGTGATATAAATGCACCCGCAGTGCAGAGCAGGTATTTAAATGTGGCAGATTTCTCAGAATTAGATTTACTCAGTATTTGCACATTTAAGCTCAATCACCAGCTATGCGGATGGCCGCGTACTCCCATAGAGAAGGACAGGGGCTGCGTACTAATCGCACGCAGCACCTGTCCTTCCCGGGAGCTGCCCGATATGGCCGTGCACGCAGCACGGAGCTGTACGTGCCGACCTTTTCTCATGTGAATGAGGCCTAAGAGCCATCTCCAGGTTCCAAAAAAACAAAAACCTACCCTCAAGCTGAAGATGGGATGCCTCAACACTTCAAGGGTGCTCATGCTCTATTGTGTAACGAACTTCTACTTACCTGATTCCCGCTCCCTCGGCGGCCAGAGCTCACCTCTCATCCCTCCACTCCAGCTCATAGACTGTCCCTGGGCGTCCTTATGTCCACCTTCCATCAGATGTGATGACCCCACTGGGCCTTCGACTGCTAGAGGGGGAAGGTTGGTCTCGGTGCCAGTCTTGAAGCCTGCGGGAGTGGGGATCAGGTAAGTAAAATTGCTTAAAGTGACATTAAACCCTCAGATTTTTTAACATAAACCAATACTGTAATGTGTGCCTTACTGTAATCCATGGTAGTTTCCCTTCTCTTTGCTGCTCTTTTTAAATCCTCATGTCTTCTCATGCTTGGGGAGAACTTCCCTTTGCAGCTCAGGGCCTCTTCCTGTAGTGCTGGCTCAGGTTACAAGCCTATACAAACCTATACACAGACACCATGTATCCTGAGACAAGGAGGTCTGCTGCAAAACAGAAGTTCTGCAGAGCATGAGAACAGATACAGATTTAAAAGGAAGAGCAGCAAAGAGAAGGTAAACCACCATGGATTACAGTAGGGCACACATTACAGTATTGGTTTATGTTAAAAAAATCTGAGGGTTTAATGTCACTTTAACACTGATCAACTAGATCGGTTAACCCTTGCCGTTCAGAATTTGTTTTTCTTTCCTCTCTCTGGAGATGGAATTTAAATTCTACAGAGTGGACAGGGCTTCATTGGTGCTTGCTATCTTTAGACGGAAGGACCTGCAGGTTGCAGTGTGATTAGGTGACGCAACTTGACAATGTTTCTCGCCCTTTGTTCTTTTTTTGATGTCCTCGCCCACCTCTCTTTTGGGCACTGCTTATCAAAGTCCCACATGTAAAAAAACATGTCCTTCGTCCTCAAATGCTGGGAGAAGAGTTTTTTTTTGTTTTTTTTTGTACTCTGTAAAATCCTTTTTTCTCCAGTAGCTCATTGGAGTACACCGCTTGCTCCCTGCGATAAGTCCTTTTTCTTTTGTGTGAGTATGTTGCCACAGATCACAATTTGCTGTGGAAGGCAATTCATGTATTTCTTTAAGAAAGTTTCAGGTCCCGGATTTAAATAATTTCATGTTGACGCGAGATCTTTTCAAACCCTTGTTCCTTCATACTATATTTTTGATTACAAACTGGTGTTTGCTTTGGTGTGTTTTGCCGAGCTTTTGTTCAAGGTGACACCATCTTAAATTGCATTCAGCCCATCTCCTAATTTGTAGGCGTTTGAAATGAAATCAGATTGCACCGTATAACCTATTTTTATAGCCATTCTGTTACTGTGTGCTGAATTGTTGGACGGTGTTTCTCTTGGTTGGATGTTGACAGTGCATCGGGGAGATGTTTTTGCTCTTGCTTATGTGACCTTCATCGCTCCTGACATTCACAGGAAGTTTTGTTGCTAATCACGGCTATATGTACATATGTTAATGCAATTTTAAAGGGATGTTCCAATTTATGTATGGGTGGGGGTGTACATTCCCTATATTTTGTAAGTGGAAAATGTATTGACACAAAGTAGCCAAATATAATTTTTCTTTAGCCTTAAGTAAGGACTGCCAGTCATTCTTTCATTTCCATTTCTTTCTCTGCATAAGTGACATGCAGATGTTTTTATATGCTAAATTATGCAACGAATGTAAAGGCAAATGCACATTAACATTCCTGTAAACATCACAACATGTTCTACCTTTTTTTTCTAAAGGCTTTGTTTTAGAAAAAGTGCCCTTGATTCTTCTTTTTTTTTTTTTTGGTGTTCATAATGTTGAAATGTTTTGAAGCAAAACATTAGACATTTTTTCCTGGAAGTAGGTAGTAATTTTGTGTTTCTTGGACAGAAGAGAAGCTAAGGGAGGGTAGTGATATCATATACTTTAAAAGGCAAATAGGTCCACTGTTTTGATTGGCTGCTAGGAACAAAGTGATTTGAAGCTTACACATGGTTGAAGACTCTCTCCCTGCACCATGTGACAATGTGAAGTTCCTGGGCAACCAATTGCAAAGCACAAGTGGTGTCACATGGGAACAACGGGGTGACCTTCTGTGCTCTCCCATACTTGGGAGTACTGGGTATTTTTCTTTTTGCTCCTGGTGGCTGAACACTGGTGGGCACTGAGGGAGAGGAAAAATCTAAGCGTTTGGTGGTGCCACCTGCAACCCCCCCCCCCTTACTGGCACAAGCTGAAGATTCAGACCCATGTCAAGTAACTGATGCTAAAGAAGGGAGCAGATCTAACCTTTTTGGAGACTGTTGGCGAAGTAAGATTAAACAGAATTTGACAACCTCTACTGTGATTGGTTGGCTGTCTTTTTAGGGCAGTAAATCTGCAATACAATCAATTTAATTTTCTTTTTTTAATGGATTTATTGGAGGTAATGTGGTGTTTCAGGTATTTTAATGGATATGTTTGGCTCCTTTTGACTGCTGTCTCTGTACCCTTTAGGCCAGACTTGCTACAATGTGTTATGTGAATTAGTGACCTTAAAGGAGAATTATGAGGCGAGTGATTTTTCACTCAGCTTTATCTGAGCCGACCTGTGACAATGAAACTCACAGGTCGGCTCAGTAGATCGGGAAGTGAGCGAACACATACCGTCGCTCACTAACTACTAGATCTATCCCTGCAGAGAGCCGTGGCTGTTACTCGCGGTTCCCTGCAGGGATTTACCCTCCCTCCCCTGTCCGATCCTCCAGCGCTGACGGGAAGGGGGCGGGCACAGCTGGCCCTGCCTCTGGCTAGGTAGAGCCAGCTGTCAATCCCGCAGCAGGGTGGATCAAGACAGTATTGTATAGCTCGCGGTATACTAAGCTTTGGGACACGGGAGGATGCTAGTTTGTGTTCTCCCATGACCCTTTGGAGAACTATGGGGAAAAGCTTTCACCCCATAGTTCTCCTTTTAATTCTGACTCGCCCAGTGCACCTGTGTTGATGCACATTTTTTGTTTGACTCCTCCAAAACATATGATATGCGAATTCCATATCTTACCAAGAGTGTTCCCAAGAGAAACTGCCTAATTCTACATTTCCAGCCTCTACCAGAAACTAAAACATTAGCTTTTAGTGCCAAGCTCCTTTTAATTCCTTATTGATGACCCATTAAACATCCAGCCCTGTTTATTTTATAGAAGGAATGTTGACCCAAATTAGGTCTGTTTGTTCTTCAACACTGTAGTTTGAAAACTGTAACAAGCCATCCATTGATCCTGTTGGTTATCTGTACAAAGTAAAACCACCTTTTACAGATGAAAACTTATTGATTTCTTTGAATTTGTATTAAAGTCTCTTTTTTTTTTTTCCCTTCCTGTTTGCAAACTGCCTGCAGCACAGATTCACAGGGGGCATAAAACATTCATACGTTATCGTTGGTTTAGAAATTGAGCTGACAAACTTATTTTGATGACAGAATAACATATTGTCATCTGAGTGAGCCTTGAAAGATAACTGCTTCATATTGACAGGCGCAAAGCTCTCGGTCACTTTGAGCACGTCCTCTGATGTGCACAGAATGCTGATAGTACAAATATAGGCCCCTTGCTGAAGAGCGGGACGCATAGTGACCTTATTAAAAGACTCTCCAAGACATCCGATGTCACTCATTGTATCAGTTCATCTTGCCTCGTCAAGTCTCGGGCCCCCTCATCGAATGTCTTCTCCAGGGGAATGTCATTATAGTGGCAGGTTCTGAATGTATGACTGACAGCACACGTTTGTATAGGAATTCATCAGCTTCTTTCAAAACCTCAAGTGTTTCACATCTTTCATTGCTGTAGGCAAAAGAGTTTAAGGATCAACTCCAGGCCACAAGTGAGATCCGTCTGGGATCAGTCCGTAAACACTGCGGCGGTTCTCAAGTCTGTTAATTGTTAAAGGCTGTCCATATTTGAGGGCCATGTTATACCCATATTTCGGGTGTAACATAAAACATGGTTGTATTTCCCCTCTGCTTATTTGAGTCAGTGTTCTTTCTGGAGTGCCTGTTGATTTTAAGTTCAGCATGTCCTCTATTCACATATCTATTCACAGGGATCTGTGAATGGGAAGACTACAAGTCCCATCAGAGATGGAACTCGCAGATCTCAATCGGTGCACAAGTTTGGTGACTTTGCCGAACTCATAGTCCATTGATTACTCCCTCCAGCCCCATGACAGAAGATCCATAATTCCATACAGACCTGGGGCTGGAATGTAAACAATGCAGCAGCCTGTGCGTTGCACCTGTGATGTAGTGATCACCATCTGCAGGCATCAATGCAAAATTAATAAATTATTTTTTTATGTGGTCACATTGACTAGAATCTGCCAAAAGGTGGACTGTGCTTTTAAACTTTAACTTCAGGCAAAGGGTTGGTATACAGATGAAATCCCTAATAAGGGAGTTGTTTTACCTGTCAAAGGATGTGTCTAAACATCCAGCCAGGCCAGAGATTTACACTGTTCTGCTACACAGTCCTGTCTGGCAAGAACAAGACCTAATTTTTCTCTGCTGCATTAAGTGACACGGGTGCCCAGGCTGTCTAGTCTGGACTGGACCGTAAAAAGAGAAGCCGCAGACAAATGGGCTAATTTCTCTGCTCTCTTCTATCAGTATGTTCCTTGTTGGTGCGTAATCACTGCAACACACGATTGATTGCTTAGGCTGCTTCTCCCTCTCCTAGACTGAGCTCTGTTGAAAAGAGGCTGATATAAGGTCATGTAATAAATTGGGTATTTGTATAAAATAAAAAATAGTAACAATTATAATCTATTCATGAACACTCAGCTGCATTAATAATGGACTACTATAGGTCTCTACTGTGTAAACATGGCCAGCTGAGTGAGGACTTGTGGCAGGAGATGTCCACAAACACAGGAGGCCACAGGCATCGGCTCTGGGTAAGTATGCATCGGTGCAGGGGAAGGATGGGAAACAATAAGTGCCCTCCTATGCCGCCTTATTGATCCTTCAATCTGATATGTGGTCTTATTGACCGATTTTATGAGCAGACATATGAGTGGCCTTCCCACAGCTGCGCCATTGTTTGCACTCTGCGGCTCTGCTTTTCTCCCCTTTTGACCTATGCATGCATCTCTTCTGCCTTAGAGAATAATGTTTCATCCCCAGGCATTTGGGCGGTCAATTCTTAACGGCAGGCAAGGGTACATACAGGGGAGTTTAGCAGATCTGTCGGCTGTAAGCAGTGCTATGGCTTTGGGTGATCCTTGGCACTAAGCTGAACCCGAAGTGTGTCAGGCCATAACATTTTAATGAAAAGGGTTGGGTTACAGATTTTTTTCCCTAGAAGAAAAACATGTGGGCCTTCCTTCCTGTGTCTCCTTTCCCCAGAGAGCTGTAGAATTGCTATAGAAAAAGCACAGCAAAACTAGCTCCCTTTTTGTCATGATCTGTTCTTGAAACTCCAGACTAAGCTGTTCAATAGGGTTGAGGCCTGTAGCTCATTCACTTGGTTTCTGCAAATGGTCTTTTTACGACCCATAAAGGCACAGAAAAGTGTAAAAAAAAAAAATAGCTACTTGTCCTCCATAGAAGAAAGTATTTACTGAAGTTCTGCTCCTGTTTTGCACCAAGATTGTGTCTTCATTGCATCAATCCCAGTGAATGGATGGGTAGTTATATGGAGCCACTTCAGGACAACATTGCTTTTGCTGATAAATGTCTAGGGACAGTAACTGGGGGTAATGTATATTTACACAGCCACATTATTTTTCTTGTAAAGTTCAGCTTTATAGTAAACACATTTGCTTAGTGTTGATACAAGTTAGTGTCCCCGGAAGCTTGTCCAGTGCAGGAAGCGATATAATGGCCACATTTGTTCCGCTGCCTTGGAGGATGCTGGTATAAATGCTACCATATGGAAATTCAGAGTCTTGTGTACTTCCATAAGAGATCCAGCTTTTTAACAAGGATTTTTTTAACCTAAACCGTAAAATGAACTGCCTACTCCCTATCTACAATCCCAGGCAAGAAAATGGATTACTTCTGGAAGAAATCACAGTTTAGAGAACTGCATTTATCTTGGGATAAAACTGCCTGAGATACAATACAAGAAGAAAAAACACATTTACATAGATAAAGTCTGGGCTAATGACTCTCATGGAATTCTCATGCAAGAAGCTGCCATTTATAATGAGGAACGCGTTTGATACTCAGAGTAAAAAATGACTGCAGCAGAGGCGAGCATTGTGTGGGGAAGCAGATTGGATTTTCGGGAAGTGAGATGGTAAAAGTCATAATGTTGTTTATCAGCTCAGTTCCATTTTTAACAGCGTTATTATCGGTTTTAATTCTTTTACCCGGTATTAATACCCGCAGGCTTGCCCCACCTTCACGATTTTTAAGCAATTTTCTTTTTTTTTTACGCGTTGGAGACTTCACTTTGTGTCTGGAAGATGTCTTTCAGTCTAATCTGAACCAAATTGTGGCTCTCTATGGTGCAGATGGGGGCCCAGTAATGACCGTTCTTCCCCTCTGCTTTTACAACCTTAACGGTGACCTTCTTCTATTCTGAACATGATAAAAAAATCTTTTCCTTTTCTCTCCCCTCTTCACTAGCTAACGCTTGGTGTATGAATCTCAAGGTTACAAAGCCTGAAAAGGGTAAACCTTTTCCTTTTTTTTTTTTTTTTTTTTTTTTTTTTTTTTTGTATTTTTAAAAAATATACTGTCCTATATTTTTATATATAGTATATCAAAGAATGGACACACACACCTGATGAGTGATGGGACATTGGGTGCAACTAAAATGAAAAATGTTTGCCAGTGTGTGTAGAAATGTAATCTACATCTTGCATGCAGTCATAATAAAAACAATGTGTGTAACATATACACTATACAGCCAAAAATGTTTTGGATGCCTATCACACCTACTATATGGTGAAAAGTATGTGGACACCCCTTCAAATTTGAGTCAGGGTGTTTCCGGTGGAGGGTGCAGCATATGGAGACATTTTAGACAATTATGCGCTTCCAACCTTGTGGTAAGTTTTGATAGGGGCCTTTTCTGTTCCAATATGACTGCCTCCTATGCACAAAGCCAAGTCCATAGGCATGGCTTTAAGAGTCTGGCATGGAGGAACTCAAGTATGCTGCATAGAGCCCTCCCCTCAACCCTACGGAATACCTATGGGATTAATTGGGAGGCAATTAGGGAGCCAGGTATTCCTGTTTACCATCAGCACCTGACTTTACAAATGCTAAATACACTATCTCACAGACACTCCAATGTTGTGGAAAGCCTTTCTAGGAGAATTGGATGTTTTAGCTGCCTCCTATATTGATGCATATAGTTTTAGCGTACAATGCCCAACAAGCTTTGATGGTATTTACAAACCTTTGGCCATATAGTGTATCATCTGTAGTTGAAGAAGATACCAAAAGACTCCAAAATAACCATTTTGGATGTAGCTGCATTAGAAGCAACATACATGCACACAGTGTATATGAATATATGTGCGTGTCGGTAAGTAACCTAGTAAATTCTGTTTGCTTACTATTCTCTGTGAGATCTGCCCAACTAAATTACCCACAGCTAGTTCTGTGCTAACCTTATATCAAGCTTGGGCCAGGGTCACACAAGAACTTTCTACAGCTATATTCTTCTCAGACAAAACAAAATGTAAAAAGAAAAGACTTCTAAAGAAGGAAACACGCTCTCTCTCTGACTGGATCAAAGTTTTAGTTTTTTTTTTTTTTTCCCCCCATTTATTTCAAAACGGAAAAGAGGGGGAAAAAAAGTGAAGCATTTCTCTGTTCTTCACAGGGTACACTCCAGAGTCAAAACTGGAATGTAAGCCTTCAGATGCATGCAGGGAGATCGGCCTACCTGCTAAAAACTTTCATATTTTTTTTTTTTATCCTGATATTACTTTAGTGCAGCAGTTCACCCTACTCCCTCTTGACATTAATCTGGTGATCTGAGAACCCCTGGTGGTGATGCTGGAGAGAAAATCCAAAACGCACCTATTGCTGGCTTTGGCTGTGCTAGATGCTGATCAAGGAAAATAAGTCATTCATGATGTTTCTCTTAGATACTGATCAGATATTTTGTTGGTTTGATGTAACTGGTCACCCTGGAAGCGGTGAGCGGGTGAGAGGGAAAAAAAGAAGTTGCTTCAAGATGTAGACCTTTGAGGCCCGATCTGTTTTCTGACTGCAAAGATCTCGCATTAAGTTAAAGCCTAACTCCAGGTAACATTTTAATTTTAGTTTTGGATAGCTTGGGGAAGGCTTAGGACCACTTGTTCGATTTTACTGCAGTTTGAGTCTGCGTCAGGGACCTTCCACCTTACTTTCTGTCCTGGTAAAAGGGTATCATAATAGGAGGTGATGGCATATTCAATGGGGTAAAGACAGCACCATAAATGTTTTATTTAGTAAAACAGCAAAGAGTTAGAACCTTTGTCACAGGGATTAAAATGGGTGAAATGTTCCCCATTATGGTCACCAACCGCAATAAACGGTTTACAGAAGGTTCTTCTTTTACTCACCGTATTCAAAATGGAGGAAGAGTTTGGTCTGGATTTGGGCTTTACGTTACCTCTAGCTTAAGCAGCGTTGAAGTGTTTGCTGGGCAGCATCAGCTGCTCACAGATTTTCTCGTCTTGCTTGACCTTGCTCTTCAAACCCCTAGGGTGCCATCATTTTGTAGCAGTGCCTATGTTTTATCCTTCATTTATAACTTTCTGATTTCCACTTCCAGTGATAGGTAGTGGGTATTGTTAGTGACGGACAGATACTGTAGGTGTGAATGTTTTAGTACAATATAATGATTGACGTGAACTTTTAAACTAGGACATGCATGGCTATGATAACAACATGCCCTTCATCACCTATCATCAAGGAATATATTACCTAAGCTTTTTTTCCGCAGTTATTCTTCATTCTAAAGAGGTCACCTACCTTGTGTGCTATAGCAGGTCACTGTGTTGATGGAATATCCTGCAATAAAGAAAAAGGTACAGTTTTTTGGTTGACATCTTGCTGAAGATGATAAAGTATATTGAATGGGGCATATACTTCACCCTTTTGTATGATTTAAATAAAATCCTGGAACAAGTTTATTTTTAAAGAGCTTCACTAAGCTTAGTTGGCATCTAAGCTGGTCTCAACAAATAAACCCAGTTCTTTCATTGCCATGAACCTTCCCATTTTAATGGGCAGGTTGACTTTTTTATTGATCTTTTGCCTTTACATATTTTTTTAACACCCCCCCCCCCCTGCCTTGTAAAACACTTACCTTTCTCCCTGTTCCAGCCATGCTCCATGTGTGGCTCTGTTTTGAGGCTACCCTGCCCTTCCAGCAATAAGGTCTCCATCTACATGCAAATTAGCGATGGCTGCATGGCGTGTCTCGGGAAGGGGGAGGGGGGGGTTTAGGGGTTTGTAACCACGTTAAACCATGCCTATGTAATGTAAATTGAAATGGCTACTTGTAGTCTCCATCGGAAGCCTGTATGATAGGTGACAATGCAGGCACACAATTGGAAGTTGGGGACAGAAGGTTGTTGCCCTATACCAACAAGGGCCTCCTGAACAAGGACCTTGATGGTCAGATCACAAGGTATCATACTCGCCCCAAATGGTCTAATACTAACCTCTGATACTGGAACTTCCGGTCAGAGGGAGATCTCCATTTGACCGGCAATGCCGAGGAAGCATGGAGCTGGCTTCCTTTCCAATCGGGAATCCAGGCAGCGGGTCATGATTTGCCGCACGACTACCTGATAACTAGGGCACATGGCACCGGTATCAGCGACTACCGAAATAAAAATATATCGGTGTGCATATACTTGTCAGATCTAAAATTGCTCTGCCACCAGTAGTCCTAGTAAGTTTTTTTGGGTTAGAGCACACTTCCTCTAAGCGTGACTTGAAATGTAATATATCGTCTTGTCACCAGGGTAATCTTCGGCAGATAACTGCGTATTCATTTGCATTGTCTTACTTTATAGGGTTTTTCTTGTGTGCCTTGAAGCACATGCATTACGAATGGAAATTGCAGCACGTCTGGTCTGCGTTTGGCCATAATCTTTCAGGTTTTTTGTGCAAAATATGAAGTTGGAAACTTGAACAGCCACTGATGTATTTGGGTTATTGATGAGAATTGAATTTGCAAAGGGAAAATGGGATTTGGTTGCAGTGTGGCATGATAATGATATAGTCCAAATGGATTTATAATGGTCGTTCATTGTTTTGCTCCTGCAGTGAGCTCTATCGCGGAATATGTATGTCTGCTCTGCAACAATAAAAACCAGCTTCAGCCACCCATATTAACGTGCCCAAGGAAGGTTAAGGCAAACAAGGAAACAGAGTCGGAACTAAGATGTCTAGCTTGAACACTAAATACAGTTTATGAGGATGTGATTGAAGATCAAATGGTTTGAGTTTAGCTGTATTCCCACTGCCAAAGCTGAGCGCCTAGATGTAAACTGATATATTTTTTTTTTTTTTCCTTTTATGTCGAAGCTGTTTGTTTGCAAATAGCTCATAGTTCCAAATGAGAGTAAGCACAACTGAACCTTCAGTATGAATCGGCTAAGTACGTTCCAGGTGTATTGAAAAACGTTAGTTTAATATTTTTGTTTAGAAAGCAACCACATCTTGAGTGGAAAAGCCTGTCCCCTACAAGCATGTGGCAGAAAAGGACCCTTGTTATCTGTGTGCAAGCAGTGGTCCCTCTGCAGGGGTCCAGTATGTCCTCTGCAATTGGAAAAGCTCATGTGCTCCACAGATTGGAGAGCTCTAGCAGTGGGTTTCTTTTTTTCTTAAGCATGGCTGGAGGTCAGCTTTAAAGAACTCCAGGCATAAGTATTCTTTACCCTTGCAGTGCTCGTTTTCATCTAGGAAGGAAAATAAATAAGTTACACTTGCCTAAACCTCAAGGCTTTTACTCCGAGCCCCCCTGCAAGGGTTACGAATATTTATTGCCTGGAGTTCTTTTTCAAAGCCTGACTTCATTATTTTTGTTTTTTGCCACATTTTGGAGAGATTTCTCATCACTTCCTGGGTCAGGTGTTGGCATATCTTCCCCTAGTGGGGACACAGATGGCAATAAATTCCGGTCAGGGATGGAGACCAGGAGTCTGGCTTAATCTTTCCCAACAGACAGTAAAATGCATATTTTGAATTATTGTGATAGAGAGTCATGATGACTTAATTTTGGATTCGTTTTTGTGAAGTAGTTGAGCTAGAAGACACATACTATTGCTGGGTTTTGTAGTCCTCTATAGCCGGTGCCATTCTGCATTCATTGCTGTATAATTTTACACTTTTCATTTCACTATATTGTACACCACAATTTTTTTTTCTTTTTTACTTCCACCGCTCCAAGCTTGCTGCAATCTCAATACAAACTAGAAGTCCCATCACTGGAGCCATTTGTTAAAATGTATTTTTTAATCCGATTAATCAAACTTAATAATCGGCTAACTAATCGATTTTGAAAATAATCGTTAGCTGCAGCTCTACACCAGAATGCAATTTAATTTCTAAACCACACAAAGTGAAACGTCAATTTTGAATTAAGACTTGAACTGCCCTTTAAACAAAATTGGGAACCTATTTATGAAGGAACTTTTTATTCTAGTAGGAAACAATTGGGTCTGAGACCTCCATAATTTTAATAATTCTAGGTCTCTTGGAGCAGTAGCTAATAGTTGCTCGCCAATATGTGCCAGGGCAAAACGTATGATGGTTGCAGCATGCACTGAAATAACGGTTGCGGAATACTGTCTCGCAGTAAAATATGGGGTGAAGAGGAAATACCCCGGCATTGATGTGAAGAAAAAAATGCCCCTGTGTCAGTGGAAGGAAATAATGCTGCTGGGTTGGTGTCAGTGGGGGGTTAAAAAAAAAATGCCTCTGCGTTGGCCGTGTCAGCTCAGTCGGATGAAGTAGAGGGGCTGGGAGACCATGGTTGAAAGGCTCAGGGGGGGATGTGATATACTACGATGCCCTATGTGTCTCTAAGCAACAGGCTGAGGGGCTCTGCGGTAGATGGGGTGCTCCCCTATCTGCTGTTCAGGCCAGACTTCTTTCTTCTTCCTGTTCCAGGTCATGCAAAATATGTATGCCCCATGGCAAGGGAAGAAGGGCAGTCTGCCCTCGCTCCCCAGCGGGCAACGTATGGAGAAGGCTTGTTCTCAGCACGAGCCTTATCTTCCTGCTCTCTTCTGCCAGCAATAAGCTGCAATTGGATGTTTTTAGAGAGCAGAATCCTCCCTGCTCTACCTGACGGGAGTTTTTCTCAGTAGCAACCAGTAAGTCAGAGAACTGAGTCTGGAGAGTCAGTAACCTAAGTGGCAAGCTGGCACCTCTGGCAAGATCACCGGTATAATCATATGACCAAGTATTTAGACACTTGTACACATGACCATCCACCATGGGGTCTTGGGCAAGTGTTCTCTGCACTGAAAGGTATGTGATCGCTTCTGTTCAGCATCTTTTTAGCTGAAGTGGTTAAAAATTCTCAGTCTCTTCTGTAACTGAATTGAATAAAGTTAACGAGGCCATCCTATATACAAATGTCTTGGCAATAACTTTTTTTTTTTTTTCCCTATTTCTGCATTTTTAATTATACCAGGAAGATTTCATTTGAAAGTGTCACTTTTTCTTACTCATTGTGTTTAGTTAAATTACCTTATCTCTTGTTAATGTAGAAACATTGAGTTTCCCA